AAAAGTCTTAGCTTTACATACATTTTTTTATTCATTAAATTTTTTAATACTTTGTGGTTTTCATTCAAAAATAATAAGTACATCTATTACATTATCATTAAATTCTAAAAGATGACTAATAGCAAATCGCCCAGGGAGAAATGCAATAGTAAAAAAATTAAATTGTTTTTAACATCTGTTTTGAAGTTAAAAATTTTCCACTTGAGTAAAGCAAAACACCCACCATTGACCATTGAGGCGTTTCTGTCAGTGCATGACATAATGACACAAAAGGCAGCACCCTTTGCCAGATTTTACATTAGAAACTTATAATTATTCTTCGAATTCTTGTTCCAGCGGAGCTGAAGATCGCCAAGGCTACCTGTGGGACCGTCATTATGGTGTTCCGCTTTACCGCTTCCCTCACCGCAATGTGGTCAACTGCGTTGCCATCAACCCACAAGACCCGGAGCTGCTGGTCACTGTCAGCGATGACTACACCTTCAAGGTGTGGGTTTCTCGTTGCAAAGCCAAGGAACTCACAGAAAGGAGAGCAGGAAGTAAAGAGTCTGCCGTTTAGGTATTTTTAAAAAAAATCTAGCGGCCAGGAACTTTTCGACATTTGCATCCAAATGTAAAGTGATGATTTATGTTTTATTCCTTTAGTTTATTTCTATTTATTTTTTTCTTAGTTTTAGGCTTCACAGAATTAAGTTCCAAGAATTAGACAAATTCATTCAACTTTAGTTTGTTGTAGTTGAGTAAATTTATGGACATAGACGTGATCTGAAGATAAGAAGTCATTAACCCTTTACAGTCCGATGCGCCCGAAATGCGCCAATTTTTTCCTTAAGCCTACAGTCCGTTGCGGCCAAACCCGCCCGTTTCGAGGCTGTTTACTTTCGTTCTTAGCACAGCGGAAATCCATTGCGCATTACTATTTATAGTTCTACCGGAAGAAAGCCTCGTTGTCAGCATTTATTTTGATACTAGTTTGACCGCGGTGTGTTTAGGGGATGATTTTCTATGATTTTTTTAAAAGTCGAGATTTTTTCGCTGTAAAAAATGGCTATCTAAGCCTTGGATACACTTTTGAAAGAACTTAGGCCTAATGAAGCTTCACTATTTCATGAGTGGGAGGGTCCCAGAAACTATTTTTAGGTTTAACTTTTGCTTTAATCATTTCTTTGTATTTAGGTATTTTTTATTTTCTTGCTTCTAGTTTATTTTCTGTAAATTAATTAGATAAAGAACCTTCATTTAAAATGGAGTTATGTCCCTTTGCTTGGGCGCTGGGAGTAGACAAGGCTGAATAGGCTTGGACTGTAAAGGGTTAAAACAATGATGAAATTTCATGTTATTTTTTAAAATTAGCATTTTGGTGGTTGGATCATTTCATTCTTGTCTAGGATCATTTCATAGAAAACTGCATTTCTAACTACACTTAGAATAGTTATAGTAGCATACTGTAATGGGGGTGTTTATAATTACTTCAAACTTACGTAGTTGAGATCTAATGTAATGTCATGAAGCAGTAGTTTTTAAAAATATATTTACTTTAGATATCTTTTTGTTAAAGCAGCTATTACTTTAATTTTTTTTTTGATGTGTGTAGTAAATACAGTAATCAGTATTTTATGTATGTTGTGGACGAGCATGGTTAAGGTAAATCATGATTTTCTTATATCTTTTTTTTTATTTGTGTGTTCACTTTACATAATGGATGCTTCAACTTAATCTCAGTGCTTCTCAAACCAAAATAAAAAGCTGCACTTAGTTGAAAAAAAAATCCTAAAAGCTCATCTCAAGCGCTGTCATTGTTTATGAGAGATACATACGATGTTTCCCCTTGATTGAAAAATATTTGATATTTGAATAACAACAAAAAAAAAAATGAAAACAATACCCACAGAAAGCATCTGTGAATATTTTACATACTGAATATTTCAGTAGCTTATTTTTTGTTGGAGAAAAAAATGCATGTAATTTATGTGACATAACTTGTGGTGTATGAATATGCGTGGGGGGAAAAATACTTTAAATGTTTAACATACCGGGGCGTTTCCTTTTGTATGTGTTCAGTCGGCTGCCACATTAATGTAAAATGCAGCTTTTTTGTATGTATGGCGTATGCTATTTAAAAAAAAAAATCCAAATCTCTTCTTATACTTGATGTCACATGGAAGTCAATTTGATTTCTTTTTTTATTTTGTGAGGGAACATTTTTTTCTTCTTTCTTTCTACAAACTACATTCTAAATTTTTGAATGTGAACGTTGTATTATTTATTTGAATGGTAAACATTTCACTCTAGTAATGTTTTAATGTATGGTTCCATTTTAAACGAGATAAAATACGTTTATTTATGTGTTTGTCCGTTTGTACCGATGTTTGAGTGAGAACTAAATTCATGCATGAGTTTAGTTTAAGTCTGTGAGCTGTGCCTCTTGACACATGATTGGGTGCTTTTAAAACTACATCAAAAAGTCTGTTTGTGAAAATACTCTTAGCACTAAGATCTTTAACAATATAATGTATATATATATATATCAATAAATACATTTTATTTTATCAATGAGAAATGCTCAGTCCAGCATAACACGAGCCCCTAATTATGTTAGATAAAGTAATCTTGTAACAGATTGCCAGTAGTTCATTGAAGATACTGTCAGATCAGTTGACATAGTAATGGAAATTGTAAGAGACCTGAAAAGTAACCAGCTGTGTTTTCCCCACCATTACCCTGTACGTAACAACATTCTGTGTATGACGATACACCTGTCTGTGTAAGTTGTTGCTAGACACCATTCTGTGTATGACGATACACCTGTCTGTGTAAGTTGTTATAAAAAAATTCTTTTTAAGCTGTTGCTATAACAACATTCTGTGTGAGTCATTGCTATAACTATAGCAACATGCTGTAATAGGTCGTTGCTATGACAACATTGTGCATAAGTAGTTGCTAATAACAACATTCTGAGTAAGCTGTTGCCTAGAGCATAAATGTGATTCATTATTTTATCTGTAATTTTAATTGCAAACAATTTTGAGAACATGGTTTTAAAAATATACTGGTATACAATTCTGTCAAAACTCCTACTGCCAAAACAACACCCTTTTATTTTTTTAAATTTTTTTTTTCAAAAAATAAAAGGATGTTGTTTTGGCAGTAGGAGTTTTGACAGAATTGTATACCGGTATATTTTTAAAACCATGTTCTCAAAAAATTGTTTGTAATTTTAATTGCAAACAATTTTGAGAACATGGTTTTAAAAATATACCGGTATACAATTCTGTCCAACTCCTACGGCCAAACAACACCCTTTTATTTTGAACAATTATATCTTTTTTTTAAAGCTCATTTCTGTTCTTCGTGTAAAAAGGTTTTGCCTTAGCCAGTTCCCCCAGATGGAATATTCACGCCGTAGATTATTTAGCTACCTTTGTTACACCTTGAGCAGTTTATACTACGCAAATGTTGAGAGGCAAAGACATTAAACGTTTTCGCCTAAGGACTTTTTAGTTTCAGAGATCTCCAAAAGTTTGGCAGGCACATCCTTCCTTTTATTTGGAAAGGAAAAGAATGCCTCCCAGACTTCAGAAAGAAAACAACATCACTTCAGTTTTATCATTATCCATAATTTATCTTATACTTACACACCCCAGTTTGGAGGTCAAGTAAAAAAAAAATGTCCTTATATTTATAAAATTTCTTTTGGGGGGGGAGGGGGGGATTGGGATGGATAGAGAGGAGAGAAGAGGGGGGGAGGGTTTGGGTGCTCATAGTTCAGTGTTTATGTCTCCATATCCAGAGATGTCTACCTCAAAACCAACTTAAAGTGTGTTTGATAGGAAATATCGGGGTAAAATAGTCGGGTGGATCAGATCAGTAAAGCACTTTGAAGACAGTAAACAACATTTTGGCTAGTCATAGAAGGCTCTCTGTCAAAATTCAAATAAATGTATTAATATAAACCATCGCCTGGCATTTTCACTGATCTGATCTTTTGTTTCAATGCATATATGATATGGCTACCATTAAATTTATAATAGATCCTTCTTGCTTTTAGGTTTAACGTAAGCTCATATAATAGATCCTAAATGCGACAAGGTTTAACGCAAGCTCATACAATAGATCCTTAGTGCTTTTAGGTTTAACGCATGCTCATATAATAGATCCTGAATGCTTTTGGATGTTTAACATATGCTAATATAACAGATCAAAACTGCTTTTAGTTTTTTCGCAAGCTCATATAATAGATCCTAAATGCGATTAGATTTAACGTAAGCCCATATAATAGATCTTAAATGCTTTTAGGTTTTACATAAGCTCATATTTTCGTCAGATTTTTGCAGTTAGTTTCAGTTTACATTTTATTTATTTTTGTTGTAAGAACTAGTTAAACTTAATCCCAAAATTTCTGCTTCTTTGTTCAAGAAATACTTTGAAATGATTTGGCCAGGTGGTGACGCCTTTAAAAAAAATAAATAAAAGGCCCTTAAATGTATTACTCAAAGATTTTGAAAAGTTGGGAAGATGAATGTGATTGTTTTAAAGTTGGTTGCAATTTTTTTTTTTAAATTTTAAAAAATGGAAAATTTCACATGTGCATAATAAGATTTCCTTCTATGTGTACCGTATTTACGTTGTTACTTTAAATGGTTAGAGTTAAACCTCACAATCTGTGAATTCTGTCATGTATTAATTAGCTCAGGTGTACATTTACCATTGCACAATAATGTCAGTTAACTGCCCCAGTCTTTTCTCACAACTGATTAAATAGCAGCATATGGAGAAAGCCATCTTTTAACTATTTATCTTCACTTTTTTGTGTTCTTGTTTGTATATGTGTAAGATGTGTAAGTTGAACCTTATATTTTGTTTTCAAATAAATACTTTGGGTTCTTTTGATAAAACCTGATTTGAGATTTAAAAGTTTTTAAAGAAGCAATATTTGTACCACAAAAAAAAATTGGTCAAATTTGTAAAAGAAATGAATTAGTAGTGACTTTAAGTTAAGTGACTACTCTTTTATAATGTGTTTACAAATTTGGAACATAAAATGAAAGTGAAACAAAATACAATGTCAAAATAATCTTAAATTAATAACAATAAATGCACTTCCTTAAAAAATAAAAATAGGTGCCAAAATATTTATTTATTTCGTTTCTCGAAATCTCAACACTATAAAAAAATTTAAATTACAATAAGTATTTGGGAAATCTACGTAAATGTTTGCTGTGAAACAGCTAGCTAAGCTAATTTTTAGATATCTGTACATTAAGACTTTAAAAAAACAAAAAAAACAACAACTTCATTGTCATAATTAGAAATGTGTGGCAGGTACGTAACATAGTATTTTATGAATCGGTGACCAGAGATTTTTATCTGTCGAGTGAGAGCACTTAAAAGTTTTTGAGGCACAAATAAAAAGCTAGCTTCTTAAATGACCTTTATTGTTGTACATCAGACTAAACACAATTCCAAATGGGTATATCTCAGAATAAAAATCCAAGTCCCAATCACTCATTCTTGCACACAACCCCTCGAGGACAAAACATTTTTACAGAAATTTCAATGTTCTAAAATTTATACAAAATTTACACTGAATTTCGAGCATAAAACAACTTTACATTCTTTACATTCCTTAGTTCATACAATGGATCCGCTTGTACTCAAATGAGGATTAAATGTCGAAAAGTTTAATAACAAGTAAAGATTATGTTAATAACAACCAAGATAATTACTGAACTTTCTATTTTTCTAAAATTTATTTCTGTGGGAAATCCTATACCGGTAATGCTACAGTATATGGCTGTCTCCTGCAATACCATTCCATTATAGTTATAGAGTAGTTCAGAGAGTCACATTTACTTGCATTGACAGCTAGATAAAAGTATGGAAATTCACGCCGGTACAGGGGTTCCCAACATGGGTGGTAGTTTATGCTTTAGATTTTTAGAGTATATTTAACTTAAAATATATTGCTACCTTTGTAAGTCCGAGCATCGATCCAATATTTGCAAACGGCTCAGAAAAGATTGGAAAATCCTGTTTTAATACTCCCAAGACCTGAGTTGAAACAAATCATTTTTAATTTTAATTATTTCCCCGATAGCTGCATTTTACTCAGATGAAGAACAGGGCAACGCCCCTAACGTTATATACAAATCTTGTGCTGCATACACCACTAATCCCCATCGTCATCGTCAATAATCTGCGGGCTGTCATCGTCATCATTGTCATGATTAACAGTAATCTGGAAGTCCTCATATTCATCATTTATATCTTTAACTTTCTTCTTTGTTGAACCACCATCATCACTGCTATCACTGACTTCCTCAACATCTTTGTCATCATCATCTATTCTCACAACAGTTGGCGGCGGTGGTTTTGGCGTTTTTTCTTTCTTCTTCTCTAACTTCTCCAGGCGGAAGGCTGAAAATAAAAACCATTCATTATATTGAATATAATAAGTTGCCGTCTTAAAGAAGAATTTAATATTAAATTGTCATTAACTGTCTCTCACAACCTATATTTAAAAACCTTATCTATTTCTGAAAAGCGATAAATAATAAATGATGGACCTTCTTGACACTGTTGTAATGGTTCAATAAACTGTTCAAATTCCATGTCTTCCATGGCACTGAGGACATCCTGGGCATTGATAGTCTTGCGTTTGTTTTTGAGCGCAAAGTTATTAGAGCTGTAAATGGAATGTAGTTATTTTCAATCTCTAACTTATTATCAGCAAACTAAAATGAAAGATTTTGTCTAGCCTAGTCTGCATAATTACTTAAAATAATTTATATAAAGTGGGTCAGAGGAAATTCAGTTACCCGGTACTGATAAACTAACCATGATGTGGCATAAAGGACAAATACACTGGCTGCTTTAGAGATGGCCAATCTGGCCTCCTTGGAAACACTGACACCATCAGGAATCTGGGAGTAAAACAAGGACAAATAAAAAAAATAATGAATTAATCCCCACAAAGCCCAGTCCCGGGCGGATGGGACTCGTTAGCCTTGGGTGGTAACTCATCTAAGAGAAGGAAACTCTGAATTTAAACCCGGAGATGGAGTCCCGTAGGCAGATAACATCGACACCATGAAACATTCCGGCAACTCCTGCCGATGACACTGGTGCCAAGCTGTGTTATCCACATTTGAAGTTCCCTTGGGTTATCCAGTGGCATGGAGAGAGGCGATTTGCTGAGTAGGGAACCAGCTTATACCCTTAAAAAAGAATAATCCCAGTCCTTGTAGATTTCACTCTGCGAAATCTACACCATTGTCACATTGTGACGGACGGATACCAGCAAAAAAGTTTGTTTATTTAGGTGAGATTGCAATTTCATATAACTTAAGGAAACTAACTTGATCCCAAATATGAAATCAGAAAGACAGCCAGAAGTTAAAAAACAATAATTTACAAACAATATTACACTTACTAATGAAAACTTTAACTCCATGCAAATTTGAGTATTAGGATGGCACAGATTAATCGCCAGATAATCAGCTATTTAAATAAAAAATATTTTCTCATATCATAGTGTAAAACAACTAAGTACTTTGATTTAAAAAAAAAAAAAGGTTTTAGAAAATTAAAGGGAAAATAAAGCATTTCAATTTCAATATTCGTATTTAAATATAAAGTAAATTGAATAAATAACACTTACTGCATCTTTAATTATTCTTGTTACAACAGCATTTGGAAGATTTAAATCTTCCGGTCTCTCTGCCATAGTGTGAACTATTTGTCCTGAATAATCAGATGAAATACAGAGAACTGGCTGTAACCTATATTCAATTTGCTTTCTTTTAATCAATTTTTTTGGTTAAATTACAAAAACTACATTACATGAGAAGTCCACACTGTCAAGAACACTTTATTTCTTCCATAATTTATAATATGCCCCTAGATTGCTTCTGTCAAGAATTGTGTTGGCGTCTTGGTGGTGTTGTCTAAGTGGTATGTTTACAAACACTTTCACCAATAGTACACAATAATATATTAAAACTCAACAAAGTCCTTTCTGAAGAAGATTAATAAATGTTCATAATTTATTGAATTCTGCTTCACGCTAATCTAACACAGGTTCTCCCATTATTAATATAAGTTCTGCTAACAAGCTTTGACAAAGAACGACTTATACTAAAGGGATCATTGGTGACACTTCTAAAACAAATGATCCCATTTTCAGAGTTTCAACTCCCTCGCTCTCCCCCTGTACTACTGTCCACATGCACACTACTATCCTTTAAGTTTGCCCTCTCTTTAATAGTATCCCTTCAGACACACTAGCTCTCTGTGCATTCATAACAAACGGACATCCCCACAAAACAGACTGTCAGGGACTCTAACACCTTTACATCTACCATATTATAAATATAATATAGTTTTAAAAAGTTATTCAGTCCCAATAACTAATAACTTGGTGAAATGTGTAAAATTTTAAGGGTTACCCAAATGGTGGATTTATTGCTTGGTACTAAAACAAGCTGAAGCCATTTATTTATATTAGTCAAGTTAAAACAAAGAATTATCTAAAATTGCTTCACAAAGTGTGAAGGGGAAGTTAGATAAAAACCAATGCAGAGCTCAAGAAGAACTTTTTGATTATCATCAGTGGTGAGCCGACAAGTTATTGCAGTTGATCAGTAAGTATTAATATTATTAATGATGATAATTTTAAAAATAAGCAGAATTTATTAATCCTAGCCTTCAGCCTATGAAAAATACAACTGATAGCAATTGAGGACAATGCACACTTGACGTTTCGCTCCAGAGTTTCTTATGAGTGAACTCGGGTATGTTAAGTTGCGGATTGTTTCTAAATATGTTCATTAATGCCCTCCCTGACACACCTCCACACAGCCCAGACTTATTCAATTCTTTTCTTAGCATTCAGGATAGGTTGAGCTCTAGATTTTAGGTAGCCGATATATTTTTGCACACATTTTTTTATACAATCACCATCTTTGTTGCCATGATGACAGATGTGTCTTGGCAACAAAGAGGTCGGCTGTAAAACAAAATAAGTAGTGTAAATACAGGATAGAACAGGAGGAAACATAAGCGTACAATTACTTACGGCTATTACTATTCAAAGACTATTGACTAATGAATTCTGTTCACAAAGTCATGATAAGAATTAAGTCTTGGATTCATGATTATTGATTGGTGCTAAATTTTTAGAATTAGAAGGTAAAAAAATGACAGCAAATATTTCAAAGAAAATTTAAAATGATCTTGGTCAAATCAGAATTCCAGGCTCTACTCAAAAGTTTTGTACAAGCTAATTTAACAGATAAATTGAGTATTATGCAAAGTGTGCAATTTCTTCAATTTCAAGGGTAAAATCATTCTCTTTGGAAATAATTTTTTGCAGTTTCCATCATTCGTTACTTCAGCTCCTTCTTCTTCCGTCAAGTCAATACTTCTATTTAGTTTAGATTTTTTATTTTGGAATTTATTCATTGTCATTAGTAGCCTGACAGAAGTAGAAGCGATAAGAATTAAGTAATTAAGATTTTCCACTATAATAATCAAAATATCAGGTGACTGTCAGGTGCACTGTCTGTTGTCAACACTGTCGTGTTGAATTTGAGAGTAGAAATGGCTAATTTCTCATATTCACTTCAAGATCATCATTAATTTTTTACTAAGGCTAAATAATCAATTTTATTCATAGAATTTAGGACTTAGCACATATTTAATTACTTACTTTGTTAACTTTGTAGTTTTTTGTTAATAGACAAGAATTAGCCCGGTAGCTTTTAAAAGGTGGGAGATAACTATGACTATGATTCAATTCCCCCGAAATAAAATAAAAAAGAGAATCATTCAAGTAAAACTAGCACAAAAAAATCCTTTACATAAATGTTATTTTAAAAAATACATAAAGATAACTTACCAAAATTTAAAACTACAAGAAAAATATAGATACACATTTTAAAGATGATCATTTAAGATTAAAAGAGTTATTATTTTATTCAATGTTTCGCTAATTAGATTTTATTTTTATAATATAAGAAATGTATAGACTCTTTCGATTTTATAACTTTTTATTAATTGAGTAATTTTTTTATTATTAATTAAATGTACCGACATTTTCAGGTACCCGTTTATCTCTTTAAAAACTTTTTAAATAAATAAATTGTAAAAAAAAATATTCTGTTGTTTTAAAACAATTAAATATATTTCATAAATACATCCATAAATTTTTTGTAAATAACGTCAACATTATAAAGAGATTTTATCCCCCGCCCCCCGCCCCCTTTCTTTTTTTACAAATGCCAAACACTTAAGGACCCTCCCCCCCCCCCCACACACACATAATTTATGTACAAATTAAATGAGTAAATATAATAATTTACATCACTCTAAAATAGTAGAAATAACAACATTTTAGTTAGATGTACTCCCCCGCCCCCCGCCCCCTTTCTTTTTTTACAAATGCCAAACACTTAAGGCACCTCCCCCCCCCCCCACACACACATAATTTATGTACAAATTAAATGAGTAAATATAATAATTTACATCACTCTAAAATAGTAGAAATAACAACATTTTAGTTAGATGTACATCTTTTGACTTTATTATTTAATTTACGCGTTAAATCATTCTCTTTGAAAATCATTTTTGCAGTTTCCAATCATTCGTCACTTCAGCTCCTTCTTCTTCCGTCAAGTCAAATTTCATCACTGGGTTGAAAAAAAACAAACATTCTCTAAAAACAAAGTTCTTCATGTGTATTTTTAATACGCCTTTTTAAAATTTAAATTTATATAAACTAATTCCCTACCCACTTTTACACCGCAGATTTATTTCACCAACTATTTCAGAAAAAAAAAAGAAAGAAAAGTTACGCACCACACCGCACGCACTTGTGATATTTTTTAAGAATCACATATAGCGCAGTTATCGGGAATTGTATTTCATGAAATCAGTGGCGTCATATCTCCTTCATACGTCCTAAAAATTTCGCCTCACACTCAGCCAGAAAGACACACGAACAAAAGCGTAGTTGATAAAAATGATATTAAAAATTATAATTCGTCTTCCAATCATAGTCTTGATTTTAGCATTGGGGGGGGGGGGGGTTGGGGTTTTTTTTTTTTTTTTTTTTGTGGGTGGGGGGGGGGGGGGGTTGATGATATTTTTTCTTCTTTTCTTGGAGCAATGTTACATGGTTTACAAGTCAACAATTAGCCAACTATAAGAACACTCAGCTGGTTTTGAAATACTTTTCAATATTTTATTCTTTCATTTTTCCAATTTCCAAATCACAATTTTGTTCTCCCAATCCCATGGCACAAACAGGATTTACTGTTTATCTACAGGATGGGCCAATAAAAGTGAGAACATCTTGTAAAATATTACGCTACGAGATGCTCTCACGTTTATCGGCCCACCCTGTAGATAGAATAGATTTCCCCTTTTCCTTGCATGCTGGTGGTTTTTTTTTGTTTTTTTTTGTTTTTTTTATAATTTTTTTATTTTTTATTTTTATTTTTTATTTCTTTATTTTAAATATGAATATTCAAATATATAATATTCGATGTGTGATGGGTTAAAAATTGGGAAACATACACAGACATATACACATCCCACCGACCCCCCCCCCCCCCCC